GGGGGGGAGGCTCTAAATGAAAACCCCTCCACACCTGCGCTCCTCTCTCCTCCCTCCCTGTTGCTCAGCTCGCTGCTGGCGGACTTCGGCAGCTTCTTCTCCTGAGCCTCGGCACGCAGCGGCTCCGGCTGCCCCCTCTCGGGGTCTCCCCTCTTCCTGGCGATGTCGGGGCCGCCGCCCGGCGCCCGGGGCTTCATCGGGGAGGGGGGGTACGGCCGGGCGGTGGACGGAGACTGGGCCCGGGTCTTCTGCGGCAGCCTGGCGCAGGAGATAAAACAAAAAGGTGCGAGGAATAGCCCCGTCAAGAGCTCGCCTGCGAGGTGGGGCCCCTCTGCTCGCCCGCTGGAGACACACGCCAACCGACCTCGGCGCTCGGCGGCAGAATGTGGAGCAACGTCCAGGGAAAAAAGACCTTTCGTTTTAACACACAGCCTGTACGGAGGACCGGATAAGTCACGCATTGCTAGCGGAGCAGTTCTCTGCAAGGGGAACGAGACGGCAGCCTCACAGGGAGATGGGGGTAATGGGGGCTGGAGACTGTCTAGTCAGTGTGTGCGTGTGCCGAGGGGCTGCACGTGCTCGACCAGGGCAGCAGGGCGGCGCACTTACTTGGGCGTGGCGGGGGAGGAAGGGCGCTTGGCGGGGACAGCGGGAGACTCCGCTCGCCGCAGAGGGGAGCCCGGCAGCGGCGAGGACATCCGCTTCTCTTTACGCGCCTTCTCCAGCTGAAACCACAGACAGCACGTGAGAGCAGAAGTGTGGGGCCTCCACACAGGCCCTGCTGTCCAGCCTGCAGGGAGCGCATTTCAGCTGTGGAGCTTTCACCTCTTCAGTGCATCTGTGCATTTAGTCAAACGGAAGCTGGCACTGGGAAAGAAAGCTTAGGGACCAGGCGCACGTTCCTGCAGCAGCGCTGATAAAGGAAATTGCTTTTGGAACAGTGCAGAGTGATTCAGGAACTGCAGCCCCTTTCCTGGGGGATGTGAAGTCCCAGAGCTGTCCAGCTCCATTCCGTTGCCTAGCAATCACCCCTTTCTTCCTGCTGCAGCTCAGCCTGGGAGCTGAAGCCCCGTTTAACTTGGGCTTAATCTTAAAGACGAGTATCGCCAACACCTCCGACAGCAGTCCTTCCCCCGGCTCCGATGACATCCGTGCTTGTTAATTGGGGAGCTGTGATAACGGAGGGCAAATTCCGAAGCAACAGGACGTCAGTGACCTGGACAGCGAACTGACCCCTTCCGTCAGGGCAGTAATACATAAGCAGGGCATCTACAGGGCATACAGTAAGCCCTGTATTCAGGGCTTACTTCTAATCATGTGATGAGCCCTTCAACATCACTGTGGGACGATTCAGTTTGGTTATTAAAAACACAAAGCTCCGTTTATTATGAAAGAAGGTTGGTTTGTTCTAAGGTTGGCTGCCTTTCCTGATCTGTAATGGGCATGCAGCTGACAGGTGACACTGATCGCTTGCTACCGAACCTGTTTGTCTCATTTTTCCCTCTTCCAGTTATCTCATGTTCTACAAGAGGTCTGCTGACAAATATTTTAATGGACATTAAATACCCATGTATGCTTCTGCTATTTTAAACACAAAACTACAGCTTTTCACAACGGTGTTGCGTATGTTTTTCCAAATTAGAACACAGATGTTGCTTATTTTGTGGTAATTACAGATACTTGAAAAATCAACATGAAATCCAGAAGACAAGTCTGCACAGAAAAATGAATGGAGGCATGACTAGAGCACACCTGGTTTCCATAAAGTAAATTATACGCAGTTTGTCACTCTACAGTGTCTTAAGAAATTGGTGCATGGAATTGTTCACCAAGCAATTAACACAGAATACAGATGCACATTTAAACACAAAGCTCCTCCCACATGTTCAAGTCCTGCCAATCACAGCACACATGCACACAAAGCTCCTCCCACATGTTCAAGTCCTGCCAATCACAGCA